ATTTCTTCATATGTGAGATTGGCTTGTAAGTTTCCTTACTAGTATAGTTGGCCCTTCATATCCAGGGGTTCTACATCTGTGGATTTGACCAAGTGCAGGTTGGAAATATTAAAAACAAAAAAAACTGTGTTCTGAACATGTACAAACTTTTTTTTTGTCATTATTCCCTAAACAATACAGTATAATAACTATTTATGTAAAATTTACATTGCATTAGGAATTATAAGTAATCTAGAGATTAAATATATGGGAGGATGTGTGTAGGTTATATGCAAATACTATGCCATTTTACATAAGAGACTTGCGCATCCAAAAATTTTGGTAGGGTTGCAGGGTCCTAGCATCAATCTCCTATTAATACTAAGTAACAACCGTACTGTCCTTACTCAGTTTTCAAATCAAGGCTATACTGGTCTCATAAAATGAATAAATTAACTTCTATTCTGTGTTTCCTGGAAGAAGTTGCATAAAACAGTTTATTTGGTCCTTAAAGGAGTGGTAAACTTACTTGTAAAACTGTTTAGGCCTGGTGCTCTTAAAAGGATTTTTTTTTTCTATTTACTAAGTCCATTTCCATAGTTACTCTTCTATTCAGGTTTGTGATTTCTTCTTAAAACCAAATGAGCAATTTATATTTTCTTTAAAAATTATATAATTTATCTAAGTTTTTTTTAAATTTATTTGAGACGGAGTCTCGCTCTGTCACCCAGGCTGGAGCACAGTGGCGCGATCTCAGCTCACTCACTGCAACCTCAGCCTCCTGAGTAGCTGGGATTACAGGCACCCACCACCATGTGTGGCTAATGTTTGTATTTTCAGTAGAGATAGGGTTTCACCATGTTGGCCAGGCTGGTCTCGAACTCCTGACCTCAAGTGATCCGCCTGCCTCAGCTTCCCAAAGTGCTGGGACTACAGGTGTGAGCCACCACGCCCGGCCTTTCTAAGTTTTTAAATATAGGGCAAAAGATATTCATAGCACTCTCGTATTTCTTAAATTGTTCCTTCTGTAGTTACTCTGTCCCACTTTCAATCCTAACACTCTGCTTGCATCTTCTGTCTTCTTTCTTGATGCTTCCTACAAGAGGCTTGGCTGTATTATCACTCTTTATCAGAAAATTACTTATGGCCCTAATGACCATTTCTTTTGCCTTTTAAAAGATCTGTATTATCAACTATTTATTTCAACTTTATTATTCATTTAACGTGTGAAGACTGAATAGGTTTAAAATGTAAAGCACTTGGATCAGTTTTTGGCACATCATAAGCATTCAATTTTATCCCCGCAGTGCTTACAGTGTCATCCTTTTTCACTGTCGTTATTTTTCCCTTATCTTTATGTAAACTTTTTATGAATGTACAGCATACATAAACAAAAACAGATATCCCAGCTAATCGGCACCCAGATCAAGGAATAGAATATTACCAGAACACTAGAATGCCCATGATACTCCCTTCCCAGTCTCTACGTGCCCCAAGGATAGCCTACCATCCTCATTCCTAATGCGTTCATTTAGTTTTGATTGGTTTTAAGTTTCATGTAAATGAAATCACAGTGTAGGCATTCTTCTGTATCTTATTTTGTTCAGCATTATATATGCGATTATATACACATCTACAATCTCCCTTGTAACCACACGCAGTTGTACTTCATTCTCATTATTATATAGCATTCCATTATGTGAATACACTATATTTTATTCATCCATTCTATGGTTGATGGACATTTGGGTTGTTTTCAGTTTGGAGTTATTATGAATAATGCTGCTGTGAGTTTTCTTGTGCATGTCTTTTGGTGAACACACTTATGTATTTCCGTAAGTAGAATAATGTGCTTTTTTTTTTTTTTTTGCTGTATAGTTAGGAGTGAAATTGCTGGAGTGTAGCTATGAACACGTTACATAAATAAATTTACTTAATCCTTACAATATCCTATGAGATAGATTTCTTCTTATGTATGAAAATGCCTTTATTTCACCTTCACTCGTCAATAATAGTTTGGCTGGTAAAATAATTCTAGGTTTGCAATCATTTTCCCACATCACCTTAAAGGCAATACTATAAAATATCAATCCTTTTTTTTTCCTTTGTAGGTAATCTGAGTTATCTTTCTAATAGTTTTTTCACTTTTTCTTTTTCTTTTATTAGGAGGTGTGAGTTTTTGAAGAATCATTCTGCTTGGTACTCAGTGGAATTTTTCAGGGTGAAGGCTAATGTCTTTCTTCAGTTCTGGGGAGTTCTCAGCCACCAATTCCTGCATTGCTTCTCCACCATTTTCCCTGTACTGATGTCCTAGCACCCACAGCTCTTCCTTTTCTTTTATCTTGTTCTACCACTATATGCTGCATTCTGGAATATGTGTCCATTCAATCTGTCATTTCACTAATTTGCTCTTCAGTTCTGTCTGTTCTACTATTGAGTTCATTTTATTTCAAACATTATAGTTTTCCTCCCCCTTGATTCCAACTGGTTCTTTTTCATGACTCCCATTCTTGTTTTTGGTGTTGCTATTTCCCCCTTATCCTTTTGAGAATATAGAAGGCACTTCCCAAGTCCTTTTCAGATTGCTCCATTTTCTGTTCACTCAGAAATTTCTTCTCCCATTTCCTTTATTTGTTGTGGGCCACTCCTGGTGTCTCTGTTCCTTGTGTGCTTTGGGGTTCTTGGGTGGAGATCAGCTGCTGGCTTCTCTCATAAGCACCCTGGTCAGTAAGCAGCCTTGACCTGCGAGTGGCTACTACCTAACCTCATCCTTCAGAGCCCTGTTCATCACCACAAGATGAGGAGTCCAAGGCCCCATGCCCACCTGGAGCTATTTCCACGTGTAGAGGTCCTGGAAATCCTACAAATGGCCCAAGCCTGCTTCCAAAGTCTCTATGGGCCTCTTTACAGGATTCAGATTCCTGAGGGCATACTATATGCTGCTGTTTGTTCACTCTTAAGCCCAAGGTGGGGCCAAACGGCAGCTGTTTGTAGGGATGTGTGAACATTGGGAAGAGCGAGGTAATCACGGGCATGCATGACAGGCCCCTCAGATGTAGAGCACAGCCAGGGTTGGGAGAGAAAGGGGCAGGCCACAGTAGGCTCTCGCCTCGCTGCCACATTATAGTATAGAATCCCAGGAGCCTAAGAATTCCAATTTAAACTTGTCCTTTTAACTTGTTATGAAGATGTTTGTGAAAAAAACCAACGTATTTTACTTAACAGTTCTTAGCTTGATTTATAATTTTAAAATATCTATACGCATGGTAGGTGGGCCTCCCTTAGAGTCCTGGGTCCCACACATGGTAGGAGTAGGCCTGGCTCATAGAGGCTTTTATTGACACTTTAACCTCAGTTCTGCTATGACAGTGCACCAGATTTTTTTTTTTTTTTTTGGCCTAGTGAAGCATTTCTGAGCCTCTGCCTGGCTCTTGTCCTCCTGCAGTTTAATGCCAAGACCTTATCACACCAAGAGGTAAAGTCCAAGGCCACAGGCAGGAATGCCTGACTCTGTTCTGTCTATTATCTTCATCGGGCAGGCACCAGGCTTCAGCTGCACCTGTGTGCAGGAGAAGGACGCTGGCCCCTCCAGTTCAGGCAGGTGACTTGGACCTGGTTCCCTGCCATGCACAGCTCCCACTTACCACCAAAGGTCCCCAGCTACTTCTTTATTTAGGAAAAAGTCTCCATTTCTACAATACGAATATTTTCTTTCTTGCTTTTAAGTGTGTCTATATGTTTATTAATTTTTTCCCATACTTCTTATGCATTCAGAGCAGAAAGGGAAGGTTTCAGCATATTTTTAATTTGCCATCTAGGCCTGAAAGTAGAGCCTCTGCTTTAAAGTACAGGTTTTGGGCCAGGCACGATGGCTCACGCCTGTAATCCCAGCACTTTGGGAGGCCGAGGCGGGCAGATCACAAGGTCAGGAGATCGAGACCATCCTGGCTAACACAGTGAAACCCCGTCTCTACTAAAAATACAATAAAAAAATTAGCCAGGCACAGTGGCATGCACCTGTAGTCCCGGCTACTCGGGAGGCTGAGGCAGGAGAATCACTTGAATCCAGGAGGCGGAGGTTGCAGTAAGCCAAGATCACACCACTGCATTCCAGCCTGGGCAACAGAGTGACGCTCCATCTCAAAAAAAAAAAAAAAAAAAAAAATGGGTGTTGAGAATGCTTAATCTGGATTCATAAAGTGGGCAAGGAAACAAGTCAAAACTAGAGCCCAGATATGAACATTTTCTTTCCCTGGGATGCAGACTTGATCACAGCTATCTGTTACAATGCGGGGAAAAGCAATCTCCTTTAAAAATCATTACTGTGTACCGACTGTCTCTGTGTCCTTGGAGGAATTAGTTAACCTCTCTGGTTCTCAGTTTCCCAGCTATTAATACAACTGAGTGAGTTAGATAAGCTAATTTCTAATAATCTCTAAAAGTACTCTCACTTATTAATTATATAGGTTCACATAATACAGGCCTAGGCCAGATTTTATTACATTCTAAGAGTTCATTTCTGAGCCTGAAAGATACTTAGCATTTCAGAGATAATATCAGGTCATCCAAACCATCTAATAAAGTATATAAGGGAGCTTTGGTAAATTAAGATATTTTGGCAAATTAAGATAATATTACATACATAGGAATGTGCATTCAGTATTTTACACTCAAAAAAAGCTTATGTGTAAAGAAGTATGATTGCTCAATAAAAAGGAAGTGATTCACTAGGAGAGAGAAAAGAGAGGACATAGGTCACTAGTTAGCAAAGCAACTACAATATTAAGCTGAAATTCAGCTTCACAGATAGAGTACGATAAAACTACTTACAACAAAAACATAGTATCTTTATTTGACCAGAAGTATCAGAAAAATTATGAGTCTATGAAGTTGCTGTACTGAGTAAGACACTTTATACAGCAACACTGTAAAGCACAATTGCCTGTACATGGGCCATTTGAACAGCATGCGTGGTTATCAGCACTGTCATCTGTCGATAGTCAGGAGATTTACCAACTCACCCCAGGTAAGCGTAGCCAGGGTCAAGAGCTCGGGGATAGAGTCCTGACATACTACATATTCTGGAGAGTATGGATCTGTTTGAACGTCAGCATCCCGATAATCAGTCTGAGTGCCCACAGTCAACTTTGAAGGGATGGATAGCTGCTTAGTAGAAGTAGGAGGAAAAGTGTATGGTTCTGCCCTAAAAGGGAAAAATCAGTTAAAAAATTGAAACCTGTTATGATCACTTAAAACATTATATAATCAAGTGGAAACAAATCTTTGAAGCTTCATCAAGTCCATTCCTCCTTTAAATGTTGTCAGGTACAAAGTCATGAATCCATTATAACCAGGATTATGCCCCCAAATCTTGAGAGAATTGCCTTGTTATTCTCATCTCTGCCAAGAAACTGAGTGGGTCTAAGTACCATAGTTGACTCACAAAAGTGCCTATTTATATGTGTGTCACTGGGCAAGGTTGTAGAACAAAGCTATTCTAGAATGCTGTACAGCACTTCCGGACCTGTTCAGAATTATTGCATTCTCTGGTTTCTTTCTCCTGTGTTTCAGTCCGATACCCACTCTCTGTTTCTCTCCAGAAATACGGGAGCAGAGAAAAGAAAAGAGATGCTTTCTGCTGAAAGAAAGAAAGAGAAAAAGAAAAAGGAAGGAAGGGAGAAATGAAGGCAGGCAGGCAGGCAGGCAGACAGGCTCTATCTGGATAAATGATTCAATAATTAATGGTGGGATCACTTTGTTATTAACATGTGGGAAAGTTACCTTGTCTCTTGCAGAAAAATTAATTCTAGATCTTTAAAAAATTAATGTAAAAATGAGACTGTAAAAGTACTAACAGGAAACATAAGTCAATATTTATATCATCTTTGAGTGAAGGTCTTTTTAAGCCTGGCTTAAAAGCCAGAAGCTATAAAAGGAGATGATCAATAGAATTGAGGGTAAGTTTCAACTTCTATGCCTCAAAATATCACAAACAAATTTAAAAGGTGGATGGCAAACTTAGAAAAAGGTTTTGGAACATATATGATAAAAAGTTTAAATAGCCTTTCTATATAAAAAGCCCTTGTAAATCAATTAGGCAGTTAAATATCCCATGGAAAAATGAGTAAAGGAGAATTCACAAAACAAAAAGTAAAACTTCTAACAAACACATGAGAAGATAATGAAGATAACTAGTAATCAAAGAAAAGTAAATTAAAATGGCAAGATACTATTTTATGCTACTTTATCACATAAGCAAAGATCTAAAAGATTGAAAGTACCTAGCATCGATTATGTTGTGAAGAAATAGTCCTTCTCATAAACTGTTGATGGAAATACAAATAGGTATTTGTATTTTTGTAACTGTTAACTGTAAATTGTAAACTGACAAGTTAAAATACCCTTTGATCCAGCATTTCTACTCCTAGGAATTTATTCTAGGAAATAACTGGACAGGTGTACAAAGATATATATGAAAACATGTTCATAAAGTCTCATTTATAAGAGTGAAAAATTAGAAACTTAAATGATCACATCAATACAAGAATTCTTTAGAAAAATGATGCAGCCATAATGGAATTTATGCAGCTATTCAAAATAATAATGTAATCTATACCTGTGAGCATTCAAAAATGTCCATGATTCATTGTAAAGTAGAAAAAATGACACTATTAAGTGGGTATGTATAGTATGATTCCATTTTTACATTTTAAAACTGAGTTTTTATGCATAGAAAAATACCTAGATGTATATACAATAATAGTAATTATTTCCAGATAGAATTATACAGATAATTTTTTTCATCTTTATACTTTTCTGAAACTTCTTTTTTAACAGGTACATGCATTGCCTCTAGAATAAGAAAAAAACCAATATAGCCACTTTGACTTAAAAGACATTTTTTTTTCAAGTTGGTAAAAGCATTGGTTAAATTATATAAATAACTAAAGATGAAGGCAAAAGCGAGATATTTCCATTTTGAAAAACAGAGGCAATGGTAAGAGCTTACATAAGAGCACAGCAAATACATACACCAAAGATCTTTAAAAAAAAAAAAAAGGTGGGGGGCAGGGCACAGTGGCTTATGCCTGTAATCCCAGCACTTTGGGAGGCAAAGGCAGGTGAATCACGAGGTCAGGAGTTCGAGACCAACCTGGCCAACATGGTGAAACCTCGTCTCTACTAAAGAGTGTGGTGGCACGTGCCCTGTAATTCCAGCTACTTGGGAGGCTGAGGCAGGAGAATCACTTGAACCTGGGAGGTGGAGGTTGCAGTGAGCTGAGATCACACCACTGCACTCCAGCCTGGGCGACAGAGCAAGACTCCACCTCAAAAAAAAAAAAAAAAAAAAGCATTTCAAGCCAGTTAGAAAGAAACACCTGTTTGAAAGTTCAACCTGTGCTGGAGCAATTACTTTAGATAGTTTTTTTGTTTTGTTTGTTTCGTTTGTTTTTTGAGTCTCGCTCTGTCACCCAGGCTAGAGTGCAGTGGTGCGATCTCAGCTCACTGCAACATCCGCCTCCAAGGTTCAAGTGATTGTCCTGACTCAGCCTCCCAAGTAGCTGGGATTACAGGTGCCCATCACCTCACCCAGCTAATTTTTGTATTTTTAGTAGAGTCAGAGTCTCACCATGTTGGCCAGGCTGGTCTCAAACTCCTGACCTCAAGTGATCCTCCTGCCTTGGCCTTCTAAAGTGCTAGGATTACAGGTGTGAGCCACTGCACCTGGGCTTTAGTTTTTAAAGCTGAACTGTAACTGCTATTGAAATCACTTTCCAGTAGTTGCTATAAATTTCTAACATGTAGCTAATATATGGCTTCTTATGTTTTCAGTAGAAATTATTCTACTATAAAATTCTAGTTGAGGAAATAACTTCAAATCAGCTTTATGTCATCCAAAGTTACATGAAGTTTTATTATATTAGTGCACCATTATCTTGAATCAAGAGAATAAAATAATTTTTTTTTGTTTTTGTTTTTTTGTTTGTTTGTTTTTTGAGATGGAGTCTAGCTCTGTCCCCCAGGCTGGAGTGCAGTGGAGTGATCTCGGCTCACTGCAAGCTCCCCCTCCTGGGTTCACGCCATTCTTCTGCCTCAGCCTCCTGAGTAGCTGGGACTATAGGCTCCCGCCACCACTCTTGGCTAGTTTTTTGTATTTTTAGTAGAGACAGGATTTCACTGTGTTAGCCAGGATGGTCTCGATCTCCTGACCTCATGATCCACCCACCTCAGCCTCCCAAAGTGCTGTGATTAGAGGCATGAGCCGCCGCGCCCCGCCAAGAATAAATTATTTTTTTCTCATATTGAATAATTACATATTTGGACCATCTGATCAAATGTGCTTAGTTTACGGTAAGGCCTAATGAGCTCTTCTGGTGAAGGTTTCTGTCTCCCTATCTTTCCAGGTGGGTCTGGGAATAGAACGTAAAAGAGGAAAGCTACTTTGAACCCTTCCAGTAACTTAATACATGGTTTCTTAACTAACTTCTTAATTTCTCCAACCTATTTTTTCCCCATTTCAGTTGGCTTTAGGGGAGAGTAAAATATGAGTAACAAAGAGCAATGATCCCTTTCCCACCTCCTCCCCAACCTCAAACAGGACCCAAACCCAGAAAGGTCCCACATCTGCTCCATGCTGGCCTGACCCCTGCTGTGTCCTGGCCCCTGTCCTCAGGCTCACCTGCTCTGGCTTTAGTACTCATATGACAGCCAGGGCTGCTCTGTGTGTTCTATCCAGGCCCTTCCTCCTCCACCACTGCCCGGGAACCAGGAGCATGCGCTGTCTGCCATACCTACAGTCGTCTAGATTTTCTCTCCCAGCCTCAACAGAGCTGTACAGAGACGGGCTTCACAAACCTAGCAAATCCTGTTCTACTATGAGCTTCACTGAATGTTTTAGAAGTATTAACTTTTTATTATCTTTGAAAAGGTGCTTATGTAGAATCCAAAGGAAAGACTCCAACAGCTAGCCATGAGAAAGGTGTGGCTGGAGAAGGCCAGCTGGTCCCAAGACAATTCCATCCCTGATAACACAAGGTGGCATTATACTCACTGCTCAGAAACTCAAACATACTGGAATTCCAGAGTTGACCTCACTCAGGAATACTGATTCATTCTTTAAAAAGTTCTAAGAGAGATAGAGAGTAGCTACAATGTCAAATGTCATAGTTTAACTGTTGGATGGAATCTTTATCCCTTGTGTCAGGGTTATTTAGGAAGGAGTCGGAGAGGTCATGGTGTTCATCACTGTAGGCCTCTGAACTCCCTCGAATTAGTTTAACAACTTTTAGACTGACGCACTTATGACCTCCAAAGCAGGTAATCCAGTGAGCCTGATTTTAAAGAATTACCAGAAGGATCTTTAGGGATCTACATAGCTCATAGCTCCCCTTTTGCTCATACAAAACACTTCATAGAATATAAGTCTACAGCTATCTCTGGATAAACTGGTACCCCAGGAAGTTGCTGTCTGGGGAGAGCAGGGAATCTGTACTCCATCTCTATAAAGAGCCAAAGGCATCCACACAGTCTTAAAAAAAGTCAAGGGTGAAGTAGAATCATAACTAGCATTTATCTTGAGGATTACAGACATTTAATAACATGTGTCCTATTTATATGATGATATATATTATTAGGAATAACTATATTCTTTAAATGCACCCTTGAAAACCCAGCCCTGAATAAATTTGTATTCAGAAATATGAGACCTTAAAAAAGGTTTCTATTCCTAATAATTTCATGAATACCTTGGACTTTTTTCTCTTATAGAAATATTAAATTTTATTAATGGAGGAAAGAATGTAGCAAAAATTAGATTTTTAAAAGGAATACTCTACCCAGTCTGCTGCCTTGTCCTGAAACTAGAGATGAGAAATACACATTTGTCTCAGATTCAGCCCTTGTCCCTTACCTCCCTCTTACCTTGGTGCACTCTGTTGTGGGGCAAAAACCATGTTTTATTTATCTTTGTATACCACGTTGTCTGTGTAGATTAGATCATTATTAAGTTATAAAATTCTAGCATTCAAAAAATATTACGTGACTGATTTGTTTATTTGATGAAATGTTGAAGAACTGTCATCAAATAAGTGTTTCAGAGAAGCAAAAGAAGATATTTAAAGCACTTTTCAACTTTTTTAAACCACAACTGCTACAATTTGAATATGTGGCCGTGTCTTCTCCAAAATTCACATTCAAACTTAGTCCCCACTGTGGTGGTATTAAGAGGTGAGGCCTTTGGGGAAAGTGATTAAGTCATGAGGACTCCATCCTCATCAATGGATTAGTGCCTTATAAAAGGACTGGAGAGAACTAGCATAGGTCCTTTTTGCCCTTCCACCATGTGAGGACATAGCATTTGCTGCTTCTGCCATGTGAAGACACAGCAAGAAGGCCCTCACCGACACTGACTGCCAGCCCCTTGCTCCAGCCTTTAGAATTCAAGAAACAAATGTATTTTATTTATATCACTAAGTCTGTTAATTTGTTATAGCAGCACAAACGGACAACTAACAGTAAGAAATACATTTTATATCATAATCCGTCATATACATATAAACATATGCATATATTTTTCTGAAACAAAAGTTATAAACAAAAACCAGCTTACCCTCCATATACCTGATGCTTTGGTTATTTTCTATTCTGTTTCATGTTTTAAAACACTGCTCATGACCCACTAGAAGATTTCATACCCTTCCAATGTTTTGTGATCCACAATTTCAAAAATAGTGATTTAGATAACTATCTTCTAAGAGAAAATATGGAAGCAAACAATAAATAAACTGAAAAAGAGTTTTTAAATAATGGTTACTTACTTGGATATGGCATAAACAACATTGAATGGCATCTGCTGAAAAAATGGAAGAAAAGGCCTGGGAGGAAAAGGAAAACATCATAAATGTGTGGGACTTTTGCAATGAATGTACTCTAAGCTCTCTTCCAGCTCTAATATTTGTCCCTTAAAAATCAGTGAGCTTAAATATCCCATATATCAGTGCTACTTCTGGATATACAAAATCACTGAGGTGTGGGGAGGTTCTTGTCTAAAACGCAGATTCCCAGGTCTGGCCCATGATATTCAGTACATACAGGGTAGAGCCAATGAATGTGCATTCTTAATAAACACTCCAGTATTTTCTCTTCAGATAGTAAACAAGTCACAATTGAAGAAGCCACCCTTTAAGCCCTGTACTTGGGCTTCAGCTGGCCATTAGTTCCCAGCAACTTCTCAAGTTCCTGAGACATTCTGAAATTCACAACGATTTAATCTAAAGCCTCCCCCTAAAAGTTAAGAATTGTACAGTTAACTGTATAGAATTGTATAGTTAACAGTTAAAAATTTAACACTTCTCTGAAAAAGTTAGCATCACAAAATTTCCATAAGGAGGTTGCTCATAAATAATAATGTGGATTAGAAATTTACTTTCTCAAGGAAGCTTATGCAGATGTAGTATCAAGACTATTTTTTCTAACTCCAGTAAGATGTATAAGGAAATCCCCATCTAATTTTTATTTGATTTGAGTATATGGTTATTACATGAGCATAAATCACAAATGAAATAAAACTAACCTTTTGGCCATGTTGGTTTGGGCAAGATTCACACAAAGAGAACAAACATTATCCCTTTGAACACAAGTTTCCCCTTCACCATGACTTCATGGTATCTCCACTGTGTCTCACTCATTTGATGACTTCATTTCAAATGTTTTCAAATACATATTCTTAGTTGCAATCAGTATCTCTAAAGTCAGGCAGGCTTAGTTTGAACCCCAGATCTACCCCTGGCTAGCTTATATGACCTGAAGCAATCTATTTATCATCTCTCAGTCTCAGCTTCATTACTGGTAAAACAGGGATCATATATATCTTATCCTACATTTCTGTTGAAAAGATTAGATCATATGCATGTAAAGCACTTAAAATAGAGTCTGACACATTGTATGCACTGAAAAATGATAACTGTTATTAGTATCATAAAGAGGTTCTCTAATAATATTAGAGCTCAAATATTCATTAGCAATTACATTCTACCTTTCAAAGTATTTATAGCGATTCTTTCCAGTAACTTCAGGATCTTCATAAACTTCTCTAGGCATCTGAAAAGAAGTGTCAGTTCTAAAGTGAAGCAAGAAAACATCATTTAAGTCTAAAATATTTCCACATATAATTTCTATTTAATATTTCTATGTGTATAGAGTAGGAGTTACACAAAGTATCTCATACTGAGAGTAAAATCTTCCATAACCTGCATTTGACTGTCATACAACTTAGAGTATATATGATTCTTCCCCTGCCCTGAGCCAGGAGACCAGGACCTAGTCAGAGGGTAGATTTATGAAATCCTACATACAAAAAAAAAAAAAAAAAAAGAGTAGATTTATGAAATCCTACATACAAAAACGCCCAATTTTAATTAAAAGCACACAAGAATAACAAAATACTAAAAGACAATTATTTATTTATTTTTTTTTTTCAGACAGAGTCTCGCTCTATCACCCAGGCTGGAGTGCAGTGGCGCAATCTCGGCTCTACAAGTTCCACCTCCTGGGTTCACGCCATTCTCCTGCCTCAGCCTCCCGAGTAGCTGGGACTACAGGTGCCCGCCACCACACCCGGCTAATTTTTTGTATTTTTGGTAGAGATGGGGTTTCACCATGTTAGCCAGGATGGTCTCGATCTCCTGACCTCATGATCCACCCGCCTTGGCCTCCCAAAGTGCTGGTATTACAGGCATAAGCCACCATGCCTGGCCAAAAGACAATTTTTCTATGTCCAGGCTAAAAGACTTTATACTTTAAAATTTACTAAATGTGAACTTGTAAGTAATTAAAATAATAAATAATTCAACTTATCCTTGAAGGTGCTTTGGCCGCAAGTTCCAAAAAATATTTTAGATATTAGCAGAAAAGAGCACTTTCAGTTGCTAAGTTGGATCCAAGCAACAACAAACTCAGTCATCCCTACCTTTGGTGGACAGTTGTCATTATATATATATCTATATAGATATATATGATGGAAAATATATATATAATACATATAATCAGGCTTGTTTGGTCAAAAGAGGTTTAAAAAGAAAATTTGGTCTAGGTATAACACCACGACTGAACATTTTAAAACCACACATGGTAAATGAATTAAAAAAATGTTTTTAACGCATTTATTTTAGGCCCTGGAGCCATCCGACACTTACATGGCAAGCTGCCGGAGGGCTTCTCTGTGTTTCTCCTCATGTCCCTTCCATTGCCGACTGATAAACGGTGGGACAGGATCTGACTTGCTCCAATATAGAGAATATCTTGGATAATGGATCAGGTTACTGAACATGGTTTTAAACCTGGGAACTTTTCTCTAACGTTAGGGAAGGGAGGCAAAGGACAAAATTATACCATCAGCTTTTCTAAAGTATTTTAATTACATTGTAAATTCTTTAAAAAGATACAAAACAATATAGTATAAGAAGAGGGGTTATTGCTATATACATAGAATATCTTTAAATGGATGCCCAAGAAACTGATGACAATGGCTGTTTATGTGGAGGGGGTGAGGGTAGGGCTAGAATTTATTTCATACTGTGTATGCTTTTGTACTACTTAAATTCTTTTAACATGGGCATATATTATTATATTTATCCCATTAAAATAAATTAGCTTATGGGTTCTCTATTCATTATCAGTGACTTAATCCTCGCAACGAGCCACAAGTATTAAGATGCTTTGCCCCCCAGTAATCTTGGCAAAGTAATTTCTGTGGAACCTAAAATCCAGTGAAGATTTGGTGATTAGTCAATCTGATCAATGCAGTTAGGCAAACTAGATGGTTCAGGTTCATTAGGTCGCCTTGGTTGATGCATTAGACATACCAGTCTGCTGCGAATCAGGGTGGCTTGGATATTTGCCTGTGTGTGGTCTTTCTCACTTGACACAATAAACAATGGATCTGCAAAATAAACAATCAAGTAGCATAACAAATAGAACATACCTACCCCTAGGCTGAGAATAATGGCAAAGCAATGTAATCTCTTAATTGGAAAACAAATTTAAAAGTTTAAATATTGCCTGACTCTGCAGCAGCTCATGCTCTGTTGTGCATGTGGCCCTGTTACTCTACCACTTCTACCAGTAACAGTTGTCAAGATGATTTTCTTTTCTGAGTATTCCAAGTCAGCATATGGAAGTGGAATGCATAAAGAAAGTCTAGCATGTTTTCAAGTACTACACCCTAAACACACTTTATAATCTCTCCTATGAACAAAACTTCTTCTGAGCCTGGGTAGCCCGAAAAATTCTTTAAGGGAAAGACCTTGTATATATGCACTATGCCAATTTGCAAGGGAAAGAAGCAATACATTTATACTATCTCCCATCTTTGATGCTCTAGAAAGATGCAAACTACATGATATCTCAGAACTGGTGAACATGATTTAAAAAAATCAGCTATCTTCAGAATTTACCCCTTAAGTTTGTAAGTTTGCTGATGATGGTACCATTATTTTTACAAAGTCCAACAGAATATTGCCCTGCTATTATAAGTATCTGTTTATCAGGTATATCTTTAAAGTGATGAAGAGTATTCATGATTGACTATACTGTACTGCCCTTTAAAATCAACTGATTTGCCATTAAATTAACAAGCAGCCTTCAGATATATTTGATTTCCCAAGTAGACTTGTCTCTGGGGAGGCAAATACCCTGACCAGCTAGTCTAGATAACATGATAACACATATTTCTCCATAGAAATTAATAAACTGGGAATTGCGATTTAGAAATGTCTCTTTTGAATTTGGATAATGTGTGTTAATTCCTAAAAGCTAATAATTCATCAGTTACCCAACAAATATGATTTACTGAATGCAGACATTGGATATTCCCCCCAAGGCTGAAAAGCTGCAAGAGGCTCAGGTTCTTTTTGCTCCTTCATTCAACACATGTTTATTGACTGGCTGCTCTATCTAGGTGCTTAGAACACATCAACAAAACGACAAAAATCTTTGACTTCGTACGAGAGAGACAATAAACAACAAACATAATAAACTAGCAAATTAGACATTAGAATTTGAGGGCTGTTATTTTTTAAAAAGAAGAAATCGGGTAAGGGAGACTGGGTTGCAATTTTAACTAGGGTGGTCAGGACAGGCCCTTGAGAAGGTGGCATGTATAGAGACTTGAAGGTAAGGGAGTTAGCTAGTTAGATATCTGAAGAATATTCTAGGATGGGAGCATGCCTGATACATCTGAAGAACAGCAAAGTCCCTAGGATGGGAACATGCCTGATACATCTGAAGAACAGCAAGGTCCCTAGGATGGGAACATGCCTGATACATCTGAAGAATAGCAAAGAAATCAGGATAAATGAGGCAGAATGAAGGAGGGAAAAGAGAGCAGGTAAGAGGCCAGATAAGCAACTAGGGAACTAATCACATAGGGCTTTGTAGGGAAGGGTAAAAGAGCCTGGAAAGGAGTTCATCTTTGCACCACCACAGTTCTGTCAAGGTGGAAACCTGGCCCAAGGCCAGTCAATTCATTGGCCAGCCAACAACCAATCTTAAATTTCTAACTTAAATTTTCAGCTACAGTACACAAAGATGCTATACAATTGGTGGTGAGCTTTAGGGCTAACTAGTCAAGAAGCAGGCCACCCTAGTCCCTATCATAGTAAGAGAAATCCATACACAAGAGGCTTTCTGTCAGATGGAAGAAGTAAGCAAGCATAGTGATGTCTTGCTTAATGATGGGGATACGTTCTTAGAAACGGGTCATGAGGTGAGCTTACCATTGTGTAAATATCGGAGGGTGTTTAACATAAACCTAGATGGTATAGCCTACTCCACACCTAGGCTATGTAGCATAGCCTATTGCTCCTAGGCTACAAACCCATACAGCATGTTATTGTACTGAATACTGTAGACAACTGTAACACAACGGTATTTGTATATCTAAACAGAAAAAGTGATGCATTGTGCTACAATGTTATGACAGCTACAACGTCACTAGGTATTTGGAGTTTTTCAACTTCATTATAATCTTATGGGACCATCCTTATACATGTAGTCCACTGTGGACCAAAATATCATTACTTGGGGCTTGACTATACATAGAAAGAAGGCTAGAGTTGCCAGATAAAATACAAGATGTCTAGTTAAATTTATATTCAGATAGGCAATGAATAATTTTTTAGTATAAATATGTTCCAAAATATTGCACAGGACAAAAATTAATACTAAAATATTATTCGTTATCTGAAATTCAAGCTTAACTGTGCATCTTGTATTTTTATTTGCTAAATGTGGCAACCCTAACAAGGTGAAAGGTCATAAGGTCAAAGAAAGAAAGCAGGAGAGCACAGCATCTTAGTTCTGATCTTCCCCGTCCAGGTTCCCATCTGCCATGGCTATACTTCGCTTCCTGTCCATGAATACCGGCGAGATTGTCTGTTTTATAACAACACAAACTTTAATTTGATCTACTCTGAGTGAATTTCTGTTCTTAGCAAGGCACATGGAAACATTTAGCAATTCCTCTGCAAAAGAGACACTTATGCATCAAAGAAACCACCAGCTTAATAAATACTTTGGGAAGATGTTTGTCCTCCTTCTCAAATTACCCGTGAAAAAAACATGGTGATGTGTTTACAGGAGCTAACTTGATTTATTTCACAAAACCAAGAGTAAATACAGAAAACCACTGGCCAGAATATGTCAGCAATCACTACACAGCCTCTATCTAGGAATGTGTACTCTAGAGATTCCCACACAAAGGAGACCCTGGGATTCCCAGAGGCAACACCACATTGCTGAAAGCAATGCAAGGTTCAGGTGAAAAACGTGGGACTGCAGAGGGCAAAATTGGAAAAAAAGCATGCTTAGCTGGTTACAATTCTTGCCACGGCAAATTCAATAAACATTTATTAATTGAAGCGCCTAGTACATGTATCAGCACTAGAATAGGTGCTCACAAGGCTACAAAAATATACAGAACAGGAACCTAAGGAACTCAAGGAGCATGGAGAGAGAGAAAACACAAAACTGACAAGCAAGCCGTTAAAATAAACCGGGCCTTTATTGGCCCAAGAGGAGCCAGCGGACCTAGTCTATAAACAATGCTTTGACGCAGAAGTTGAAAACAAAAACAAAAACAAAACCTAAAAGCAAGCATGAGATAAACTGGCACTTCTTTTTGCCCAACTTGTATTTGCCCAGAGAGTAGGAGACAAAAGATTATTTTCGTAGGGCATTTTATGCAGGAACGTTGAGTGAATCTCCGAGTCTACAAATCGTTGCATACTTTTCTGGGTACCAAAATGCCCGGAACAGGTATCAGGAAGATCGCCCCTTGAAGCGGAGCGCACCCGCGCCTTTCGATGCACGCGAACCCCCGACCCCACCCTGAGTGCGGGAACCTGGAGGGCTCGGAGCTGCCCCCACCGGACCAGGGACAACCGCGGGCAAGAGGTCAGTCCAGAGGGTCGTCTTTCGTTCGCCATGCCCCTGGCCAGGTCCTACCATCTGGGAGCCCACCTGGCCCAGGAGTGGACGGACGCGGAGGAAGGTCTGCGACTGTCCTTACCGTACAGAAAATCATACGCTCGATTGGAGGAGATGTGGCTCCCAGCCCGCGACCTGTCCCGGTACCGAGTTTGAGACACCTGAGGCTGGGCCTGGGGCTCCTGGATGGTTACTGCGTGGCTCATGGTACCGCCTTTTCCCTCGGGCCAGCAGGGGACCAGCTGGTCTGGCTTGGCTGCTGCGTGCACGTCGCTATGGTAACCGCCGCCGGCGCAAGGGGATAAGGGGCGGGGCCAGGAGGAGGGCGGTGGCCGCGGGGCGGGGCCGAAGAGGAGTGGAGAAAAGTGAAAGCAAGAGTGGCCGGGCAAGAGTCGGGAGGGGAGTGGAGGGGAGATGAGACGAGAGGGGAGAGGCAGGGTGAAGGAGGAAAAGGCTCGCTTCCCTTTACACTCCAGAGACAGTGGGGAGGCTGGGAGAAAGCTACTCTTAAGTCATTGATTTGCCAGTTATACCTCGTAGCCTCTCGGAAATCCCTGAGAGATCTCAGAACCTTCTAGAATAATTGGGTGCTTCCCCGCCCCGCTTCCCCAGCCCTTTTCCAGGGGACTTGTCCCGAGAGCTGCGGAATTCAGTCAGGTTCCTAAATGTTGCTCCTTAGCACGCTGTGAACTTTGCCCCACACTCGTGAGCATCAGTGTTTAGGGTGGGTTAGGTAATCAGTAACTGTTGATCTGAGACTGCAGACCC